ATAAGTATAGATGGAGTCAATGGGTGGTTTTCTCTTGAGGCAGCCAAAACATGTTGATGTAAAGTCGCCATAGACCTGTCATTAGAGGGAGCGAGAGATGACAGGTGGTGGTTTAACCTGAAGGTCACCACACCTCAGGTGAGGGGAAAGGTTGAGAAGGTGGGACCTTTGTGGTAACCTCAGCTGGTGCAGGAATTAAATCCCCGCTGTTAGTATCGTGCTGCATTAGAAACCTAGAAACCAACCATCCAACCAACTGAGCTGACTGATCCCATGCATTCTGATGTAATCTTCTGCCAGAAGCCCTTTACAAATCCATTCTTCAATTCTTCACATCAGCATCATCAGTGTGTGTTAGCGAGTTGTTGTGTTGTACAGAAAATCATAACAGAACGACACAATGTCTTCCCCTCATGTTCATTCAGAATCACTGCAAAGTGCTGAAAACAGAATTGTCACTTATTTCTATTCTTCTGTCACTGCCCTCCCCACTCACTACCACCAGCCCTTTGCACTTAACAGTCTGTTATTGTCCAGAAAGACATTTATAGTGAAGAGTCATGCTGGAATTGACGTTTATTCAGTCTTGTATTTATTTATTTATTCAATCACGCTGTAGTTTCAATAAATGTCCCTTCATACATGCTAAAGTGAAACTCCAGTTAATGCAGTATTTGCATAAAACTAAACATGATAATACATTATCAAAGTGCACAATAGTGCCCGAGAATTTACCTGAGGGCATCTTGAGTATGGGGCCCATCTGCTCTGTATGGCTTGGCTTACAAATGGTCAACTCGCATCACTTTATCCATTGACTGAGCTATGGGTGTTTTTATTTAAAGTAGTTAGCTTTGTTGCTGCACTGCTGTCTGTCAAGCTCATTACTGCTATTGTTGTCGTATATTAAAGTGTTACCTAGCCTTCTGAGTCTCCATGTAGGAAATTACGTCTGATTATCATTCAGTAAGTGTACATGAACAATACTTTTAACATTATTAGCTGCTCCCTGGACCATTTTTAAGGCGTTGATAACATAAAGCAGTTGAGAACGTGCACTAATAAACTTAGTTGCACCATCTTTTTTGCATTTCGAGTCTAGTTACTCACTTTGTCTTATTTGTGCTAGAAGTTTAGATTTCATTTAAGCTTTTGTTTGTAAACAGGAAGGCAAGTGGGAGATTTGGGTTGGTTGATTGTGTGACACTTCACTCCAGGGCCATAGGCAGTGTCTTTTCTTCCCTCTACTTATACCAATCAGGCATAACAACAGACGCAACAGTCTAGAAATCTAATAAAAACCAAAAGAACTGTGGATGCTGTAAATCGGGAGCAAAAACAAAGTTGCTGGAAAAGCCCAGCAGGTCAGGCAGCATCTGTGAAGGAAAAAACAGAGTTAACGTTTCGGTTCCGGTGACCCTTCCTCAGACCTGCTGGGCTTTTCCAGCAACTTTGTTTTTGAGCCTAGAAATTTAGCTGCAATGTACCAGATTTTCAGGCAATAAACAAACTAAGCTTCTCTGAGAGGAGATTGTAGAGCCTGGATTAGTAACCCAGATCTATCTGGGGAGTGGGTTCAAATCTCACTGCAGCTGGCGGTGAAGTTCACTAATAAATTGAAATATAAATTTATTGTCAGTGAATATTACAATGCAGAAATTTTATTTCTGACGGAAGTGACTTTATTTTTTAAGGGTCAGGAACTCATCTTTTTACAGCAGAGCGTCAAAACAACATTCCCAAGAAATTTTATGACCTAACCTTAAATGACTTGAAATGCTACCTGGACAGATAAAGGCTGAAGTGTTTACTAAATTGAGCTTTTATGACTCAGAGAGTGTGATAGATGGAGAGGCCAGAAGCAGATTCAGTTCAGAAGAAACGATTCATACCAGCAGATGAGCTCTGTAGCAGCCTTGAGGAAAACACATAGAGAGACTCACAGAATCCCTACAGTGTGGAAGCAGGTCATTCGGCCCATTGATTCCACACCAACCCTCTGAAGAGCATCCTACCCAGACCCACACCTTATCCCTCTAACACTGCATTTCCCATGGCTGCTCCACCCAACCTGCACATCCTAGACACTACGGGCAATCTACCGTGGCCACTCCATCCACCCTGCACGTCTTTGGACTGTGAGAAGAAACCAAAAAATCCAGATGAAACCTGTGCAGACACTGGGATAATGTGGAAACCCCACACGGACAGGCGCCAGAGGGTGGAATGGAACCTGGGTCCTTGGCGCTGTGAGGCAGCAGTGCTAACCACTGAGCCACCGCGTCACCCTAAAAACAGTGAGCTGTTTTCCTGAAGGTTGTAGGAAAGGTCAGAGAGCTAACCTGGGTCTCTGCCTCAGAGAGAGAGGGAGAATCATATCTGCTGCTCTTGTAGAAAATCGCTGAATGGAAGCTATTGTGACCTTGTCAATTGAATAAGAAATGGAAGTGTGAAAAAGGAGTGGCACCTCAGTTTGGTGTCAGAATCATACAATTGTTATGGTGCAGAAGAAAGCCATTCAGCCCATCATGTCTGCACTGGCTCTGTGAGCATTCTAACCTTGTGCCATTCTCCTGCCTTTTCCCCACAACCCTGCACATTTGTTTCTCTTTAAATAACATCCAATTCCTCTTGAATGACCCAACTGAACCTGCCTCCACTGCACTTACAGCCAGTGCATTCCAGACCCAACTGCTCTCTGTGAAAAGCTATTCTCTTGCCTTGCATTTGCTTATTTTCAAAACATTTTAAAACTGTACCCCCTCGTTCTTGATCTGTGTACAAGTGGCAACAGTTTCACCTAACAAAACAGAAATTGCTGAAAAACTCAGTAGGTTTGGCAGCATCTGTGGAGAAAAATCAGAATTAACGTTTTGGGTCCAGTGACACTTCCTCAGAACAGTTTCTTCCTATTCTGCCCAAATCAAACCTCTCCAATCTTTGCTTTGAACTGAACTATCTGATCCTTGGAACCATTTTCTTAAAACTGTTCTGCACTGTCTCCGAACTTCAGCTGCATTGAACTTCAGCTGCCACCGAAATCCATCAATGTGTCAACATCCTTTTGAAGTTCTACACTGCCTTACAATTCTCCCTGACGCTGTGTCATCTGTATACTTTGAAGTAGTCCCCTGTACACGAACATCCAGATAATTTACATGTATCAAGAAAAGCAAGCGTTCAAATACCGACTTCTCGGAAACTGTGGTTCCTTCTTCCACTCCAAAAATACTTATTAACCATTGCTCTGTTTCTTATCCCTCAACCAATTTTGTATCCACATTGCCGCTGCCCTTTTAACAATGACTTTCCTCACACGGCTGTTGTGTGGCACCTTCTGGAAGTCCATGTACACCACGTCACCAGCATTCCCCTCATCGATCCTCTTCCAAAAAAAGTCTCCAGCAAGTTCACTATAGATGATGATGTTTGTGCTTTGAACACTTTGACCAGTTTATGTATTAAAAACACTTTAGCCAAGCTAAAGTGGATCAGACAAAGGGACCAAACTGGTTTGCAGTTGAACTTGATGTTATTAACAAAATATTCCTTATTTAACAACATCATGTGAGCATTTCCCAAATTTCCACAATATTTACTGTTTACCTAGCTGTATCCATCTGAGGAAGGGTATTACCCACAGTGATCCACACGTTTGAGCTGGGCGTTTGGAAACTCCTTCCTTTCTGATGTAGGGCTGGCTCTCTTCCACGAAGGTGGGTCTTGCAGGTCAGGGTGGATTCCCTCCTGGATCTTCTTAGGTTGCCACCTGCTGTTCTACCACAAGTCTTGCTGTGAGTTTTGACGGAGTGGGTGGGTCATTGCTGTGGGTCTGGAGTCACATGTAGGCCAGACCAGGTAAGGATGGCAGTTTCCTTCCCTAAAGGGCATTAGCGAACCAGATGTGTTTTTTCCAATAATCTGACAATAGATTCATGGCCATCATTAATTCCAGATTTTTTTATTGAATTCAAATTCCGCTATCTACTTTGGCAGGATTTGAACTGGGATCTCCAAACGTTTTCAGCGTGTCCAGATTAACAGTCTAGTGATAATACCACTAGACCGTAGCCTTCCCTGATTTGCTATTGAAAACTGCATGACTTTGATACATCAAGGGTTGACTACTTGCACATTTGACTGCTGACCTCCATTCCTCCAACCTCTATAAGTCTGTTCATCTGAAATGCCCACTTGTATCTTAATTTGCACACAGTCCTACTCACCCATAACCCCTGTCCCCCCTTGACCAGTATTGACTTCTGGTCTCTCAACAGAATTATTTCCTAAAGCTCTCAGCCTTAAAATTGAATTTCTTCAGATCTTTGCATCTTTTATATTTCTGTAATCTCCTCTAGATGTACAAGCCTGTTCACCCAAATTGTTTTTTTTTTCCTTTGACGTTGGTTTCTGCGCCATGGAATATGTTTCTAAGTTAAAAGCACGGTACAAATAAAAGATGTTCCTCTTCTGAGTGTCAGATTTTGTGCACTGCAATGGGATGCTAATGAGGCAAGATCTCAGCAGAGATACACATTGTGGTTTATTTCTCATTTGCTGTTCAGGTTAAGAGAGCCTGCCCCCATCCCAGTCTCTACATTCCGCAGCGTAAGAGAGGACAGAGCTCTCAACTGCTCTCATTGCACTCTGCAACTGCATCTGAGCTTAGAAGCAATCTTCAAAGCAGCAGCTCATAGCTCGCCACTTTCTGCAAATATTTGAGCAAGGCTTGCAAAATATCCTGTCAATGAATTTATGTTCCAGTTAGGCTTTACTTCTTCACTTTGATCCATTTATTTTCTTCTGTGTAATTGGCTGACTCAACACTATCCCATGTTCAAGGGCATGCCCTAATGGTGGCATAGTTTGAAATTGTTTTGCTTTGAAGTTTAAATAAAAATGAAATTCAAAACTGAACATTAACATGTACCTGTTCATTCACATGATGCCCAAAGCAAGCTGTGTTTGTATGCGTGTGAAATGTTTTGATTTTGTTTCAGATATCGGATGGAGGATATCATCAAGATAGTGGGTTTTCACAATCAGTGCCCAGTCATTGAATTTAAATACAGGTGCTTTTGGTTTAATTTTTAAAATCATTATCATCTATTTACATTAGTCCCTGCACATTATGTTCCTGAATTTCTAAACGTAGGCATTTGTTCCTTTTGCATTGTCAGATGGGGCCAGTTGTTAAATGTCAGGGGAGAGAAAATCCTGGAGGAAACCTTCTATCAAACACTACTGCGAGCCGTTAGCCTGTGGCCTGGGGCAGTGCTCCTTGATTACTGCTGTGTAGAGAGTGGCCTTTTAGGTAAGAGCTTGGTATCTGCTACAACTAAAGGTGCGAGAATCACAGTTGAATCTAGAGCTTGTACCATCTGTCTAATTTTATAAGTCTGCTCATGTCTGAAACTCTGGATCTTAAGAATATAAGAACTTAGGAGCAGGAGCAGACAATTCAGCCTCTCCAACGTGTTCCACATTCAATACAATTGTGGCTGATCTCATCTTGGCCTCAACTCCACTTTCCTGCCCAGTCTCCATAATCCTTTGAAATTTTTCATTTGTGATTCATTTGTGTCGTTATCCCTTAGTATTTTGATGGCGGGCTAGATTTATTTTGAAGGGATTTGAAAAGGAACTTGGCTGTTACAGTCCTTTCACCCCTTAACCTTTGACACAAGTGGACAAACCCACCCCAACTGAGCAAAAGAAAGATTAGCATCTTTCTATGACAGATCTCTCACTATCAATCTCGTGAGACTTGGCCAGGTTTAGTCCTTTAGGTTACTGCCCAGAATTGTGAATAATTTAGTATTAAATGGTCATTGATCAGTGAAGACTGTCTGGAGTATGAATTGGAAATTTTACCCATGCAGTAAGAGGTGATCCTGTGATGTTATGGGTATGGTACATTTTTGTCACCTAAGCAAACAATTAATACAAAGGCAAAATACAGCAGCTACTGGAAATCTGAAATATAAACAGAAACTGGTGGAAATACTCAAGGTCAGGCAACAGCTGTGGAAAGAGAAACAGTTAATGTTTCAGGTTGGTGACCTGTCATCAAAACAAATTGACTATATCTGTGCTGTCCTGTAATTGATCTAGGATGGCCTTAGTTCTGAAGCTTATTGCCAAAAGAACTAAAATGTTCCACTGTCCAGCATTGAATCATCTTCACCTTTGGTGAACATAAACCAGTTCATCATAAAGTGGTCATTGGTTTAATAGGTCCCTTATTTCAAGCTGTGCATATAATGTGAGCGTTACTAGACAAAAGGGGGTTGAGCGTATATCTGAGGATGATGGGCGCACAGCAATACTTATGAGATAACCTATCAACCACTTGTGTGTAGTCGTGGTGGTTCTGAGGGGGGAGCTTGAATGAAAGATGCTCGTTGTGGCTGATAACTAAGACTGTGTTATTTTAAGCTGTGCATCTTTACCATGTGCAGGTCTATTTTGGCTTGCTCTCTGTCTGCTATCTGGAGATGAGAGTATGGCACTAGTCATTCACTTTTTTTATTTCTATTCAATTTGGCGAATTATTTCATTGTACTGAACTTGAATGTTGATGGAAAATGTTGCAGTTTTGACAAAGCTTTTACATCTTCTCTCATTAGGACATTCGTATGAATAAAGGAGAACAACTTTTTTGTTTTACACTGCATGAAAAGAGAGTGACAGTCATTGGCAAGGGACTATGATTGGTAAAGGGCTTGCCATGGAGAATGGACCAGTTAGATTTACACATGTTGCACTTGTTTTAACTGACAAAATAGGTGACACCCATTCTCTGGTTTATTCTTCAAGGCAATGCCGTGCACAATCAGAGTCAACCTGCCCGGTTTAAATTTAAGCAAATCTTGGCATTTAACTGTCGGTCATCATTCTCTATGATAGTGCCTCTACCAGAGTCTACTTGTCAACCAAAACTGTATAGATATAAAAAAAAAAGTTTTTTCTTTTCCCCCGTTGTTCTTGTGGATTTCCTGATCTGCGCAAAACAAAAAGCTTTGACAAAATCTGACTGTTTTTCAGCAATATTCACAATCCAGTTTGTAGAGCAACTCAAAGAGATTCCAAGATTACATCAAAAAAGACAAATATTTGGTGATCTCAGTTTGGAGGACATGGGGCCAGGTCAGACTATCAATATCAAGAGAACATTTGTGAGATTTAACCCAAAAGTAACTGACTATAAACCCACTCTCACATTCATGCCCCATTCACTGCTGGAATTGTTTTTCTAAGGAAAATAAATCAAATTAGGTTATATTGTTCAATTAAAATGCTGCAGATGAGACTAGAAAGATGCAAATATCTTCCCCAGCGGCAGAGTGCAGAGCTACAGTTGTGAAGATGCTGATCAATTACAGGACAGCACAGATATAGTCGATTTGTTTTGATGACAGGTCACCAACCTGAAACATTAACTCTGTTTCTCTTTCCACAGCTGTTGCCTGACCTTGAGTATTTCCACCAGTTTCTATTTATATTTCAGATTTCCAGTAGCTGCTGTATTTTGCCTTTGTATTAAGAGTAGGAACTTGTGGTTTTGTTCTGTCATTTACACTTCAAGCATTGATTTAATTGTGTGTGTGTAGCGTTCATGTCAATGCTGACTGTGCAGCAATCACTTGCCAATTCTCTCTGAGTAAACTACCATGCTAACTCTGACATTAGTGCCTAAATCAAGCACTGTCAGAATTCCCCAATTCTTGTCCTTTGTGCAGCTCTTATTTGATATGATGAGGGGCACTGTTTTCTTTCCTATGACAAGGATTGTCAAATTTCTGAAACTGGGCCACGAAAATCAGTGAGTGAACTGCACGTGTCTACAGAATATGAGGGCCTGTTTCTGTTTACAAGCACAAGGCTCTGTACGGCAGATATGGATCAAATGTTGATGGGCCACACCGCCATCAACAACTAAATAGCATCCTAATGAAATAAATTGATACAAAGCCTTTCGTAGGAGTGCCAGCAAACAAAATTTGGCGCTTAGCCATTGAAGATAGTAGGGCCGCTGACCAATCATTTGGTCAAAGAAGTCAAGTTTTAAGGAGCCAATTTAAAATATGAAACAGATGCATAGATGATTAGGGAGTGAATTCCAGAATTTAGGATTTTGGCAGCAAAAGGCACAATACCCAGGGTGGAATGAAGAAGATTGGGAGAACCTCTGAGACCAGAATTAGATCATAGAATCCTTACAGTGTGGAAACAGGCCCTTTGGCCCAACAAGTGCACACCAACCCTCAGACCCATCCCCCTATAACCCACCTAATCTACACATCCCTGGACACTATGGGACAATTTAGCCAATTCACCTAACTTGCACATCTTTGGACTGTGGGAGGAAACCAGAGCACCCAGAGGAAGAGTTGCAGATAGCAAGGAGTGTTGTAGAGGAGATTACTGGCTGGAAATGGTGCTGGAAACTCAAGAAATGCTGGGGCACCTTGAACTCAGATCTGGAAGACAGTAGACCCAAATGCCTTCCACACAAACATAGACCACTTCATCGTAAGGTCACGGGACAACCACAAACCAGCAATTTTTTAACATCCTGCAGAGAACAGTGCACAGACTCTCTCAGATTCATTCTGCCCTTTCTCCGGCTTTTCATACAGACTAGTAAAACTGAGCCCCAAAAACAATGCACTGAAGTCAGCGCTTGCTTTTGATCTCGCATGTACAACCACTTGTGAGCACAATCCAAATGTATTCAAGTTCATTTCTCTGTTTCTACATTTTAATAGTGCTTTCTCAAAAATCATTAAACTTGACTGTTTTTATAGCACTTTAGCTGTGTATGCTCACTACTCTGAACTAGAATACTGTCAAAAAGGCTCCTTTTGTAACAAACATATTACTGTATTTGATACTTGTGCCCAGCATTGTTTCGTCTGCCGACATCACCAGAAGTAAATTGACTGTTCGTTAATCTCATCGGGTACCTATGGGACTTTGCTATGTGTAAATTAACTGTTACATTTGATCACATAGCAGTGATTGCACTCCAACATTAATTAATTGGTTGCAAATTACTTTGGGATAACCTGGAGACCTGATAAAGCACTTTATAATTGCAAGCATTCTCTTTCCTTCCATGTACCAATACATTCCTCTGGCTAAGTCCTATGAGAAACATCAAATTAACCTATTTATTTGTTTATTGAGGAACATTATCGTTGCTGAATACATTGATAAACTTTGGCAATTTATTGGCAGAATGGCCCAATAGGAAGTCAATAAGTAGAGTCTGGTCCTCCAGGAGCTGACTTCCATCAGCCTGTTCAGCAATTATGGACATGACTGAAGATAGAAATACCTGACAAAATGTCTGCAATATTGGGTAGTCTGATTTTACTTTAAAGCTGTTTACTATCTACTGTAAAATAAAGTGTTACAACACTGTTCATGGCTAATGTGCGCCACGTATGTTGCGGATAATTGAAATTTCTTCTTTCAGGATCATTTTGTGGCAGCTCAGATCCTCACTATGAGGTTTTTGTTGAAATAAAAGGGGTCAGAAACTTATCAGAGGATCAGCGTTACAAGGTGAGAGGCTACTTCTTATTGTCCTGGGAAAGGGTTAATGCATATTTGAAGTTGAAGTTGATTTTCCTCCCTTTTGGGCATTGTTAGGATGCCAATGTGTGACGATAACATTTGTTAATATAAAAGTCAGCAAACCCGCATAAACTAAGCATTTACAACAGGAAGTAGCTCAAAACTATACCGAATGAAGGAGCTATCGTTAGCTCATTATTTGTGAAGTGGAGGAGCTGATGCCATTGTCACTGGGCTAGATTCAAAATGGCAACCCAGCAGCTGGTAGAATTTAAATTCTGCTCTTAAATCAATTAACTATAAACTCTGGAATAGAAAGCTTGTCTTGAGTGATGACTATGAATGATCCTCAATTGTGATAGAAATCCACCTGTTTCATCATTCTGCGTAGTCATTTTTTTCAAATATCACCTTACTGGCGTTTTCTTTCCTATCTCATTAGCTGGATCAATGCCTTCAGGAGGATTCAGAGCTGTACCAGTCATTTAGACGCAAAGGTAGCATTGGACCAGTGAGAGTTCATATTGTGGCACCAGGCAGCTTCAAAGAGTTGATGGATTTTATCATTGCAAATGTAGGTACTTCCTGCAGTCAGTTCAACATGCATCGTATTCTGAGGAAAAAAGAATTTTTAAACTTTATTCAAAGAAAAGTAATTTCGTAAAATCTTTGCTCATACATTATATTACTCTTAAATTTGTCATATTG